TCCTCCGCCCACTTCCGGAAGAGGTCGTCGCGAGCCTCCTCCTTCCACTGCTTGACCTCCAACGGATGTGGGCGGAGGTCGCTCTCCTTCGTTCGCCGATAGACCGCCGCGAGGACCTCGGCCTCGAGCGCCCACGGCGGGCTACCGGCGATCAAGCACGCCGCCTCGTATGACGCCGTACGGTACGCCCGAGCCACCCTCAGCGCCATCACCCGCTGCGGACGTCGCAGCAGGATGCGGTTACGGGCGCTGAGGGATTCCGCCCATATTGGCGCCCCGTACAGCGCCATCGATCTTACCACCCCCATATAGAGGCGGCGGCATGCCCCTCCGGGGCCGCCCAGGTTTGGTAGGACCCTTCCGAGAGCACCTGCGGCGGCTACCAGCTTCGGAGCCAAGCGCCGGAAGTGCTCTCGGAAGACCCATCGACCATCGAGGACTAGTCCTAGGTACTTCATAGTACCTGCGATGGCGATGGGTGTCCCGGCCACCGTTATTTGTGAGCCTCGAGGCGGCCCTCGCCGATGCCCGTGGAATGCCAGGGCCTCGGACTTGCTGAGAGCCACCTCGAGACCCAGCCTCCGGATTCGGTGGACCACCTGGGCGACCCCCGCTGTGGCGCGGGCCATCGCCTCGCGGTGTGTGCTGCCACGGGCCGTCACGAGGGTGTCGTCGGCATAACAAATAAGGCCGACCCCCCGTATCACGGCTCCGCGCAGCACCCAGTCGTAACCGATGTTCCACAGGAACGGTCCTAAGACCGATCCCTGTGGAACACCGCACGACATGGCCCGTCGGGCCCAGCCGTCTCTGGTGGGGTACACCACAGCCCTTCCGATGAAATAGTCCCGGATCAGCCTTTGCAGGTGACCCGGAACTCGGAAGTGCTGCAGTGCCCCCATCACCGCCGTCCAGGGCAGCGTGTTGAAGGCGTTTGAAATATCCAACGACACAGCCACCAACACGCCACCCTGGGCGACTACCTCCTTGGCTAGGCCCTTAAGGCGGGACACCGCGTCGATGGTCGACCGACCACAGCGGAACCCGAACTGAGCGTCGTTCAGCCGTATGTGCTCGGCGAGACGAGCAACAAGCACGCGCTCGAAGAGTTTACTCGGCTCGCCGAGCAACACAATTGGCCGATACGCCGATGCCTGGTCGGGCGGGCGGTCGTCCTTCTTTAGAAGGACGAGCTTACCTTCCTTCCACGAGCTGGGGAACCGGCCCTTCACCAGGCAACTGGTGAATAGGGCCCTAATCCGCCCCCCAAGCTCGGGAAGCGTCAGGTATAACACCCGACCAGGCACGCCGTCCATCCCAGGGGCGGTCTTTTTGAGGCGAAGTTTTGCGGCGGCGTCCGTCACCTCCTTCTCGGACACCGGCTCCACCTCGTCGTTGACCGCCCCTGCCTCCTGCTCTGCTGGCAGGGCAGACCCTACCCGTTGCGGGAAGAGAGCCCCGACCACCGCCTCCGCCAATTGTGGCTCCATAGTTGTTGTTATGGGCGGAGCCCAGGGTCGGAGCTTCTTCCGCACCGCTCGGTACGGTCTGCCCCACGGGTCCTCCTCCAGCGTTTGGAGCCACTCCTCCCACGCTCCCTGTTTGGCCTTCGCGATGGCCACCTGGAGAGCGTGGCAGTCGGCTCTATACGCCTGGTACAGCTCCTCCTCCTGCCTCTGATCCCGGACTCGACGCCTCCGGCAGCGAGTGTACCGGCGGCGCGCCGCCACACACGCTCGCCGCAGCTCGCGCAGCTCGGGGCGCCACCAGTACACTCGCCGACGGGGACGGAACGGGCGGGCCCTCGGCATGGACGAGTCGCAGACGTTGGCCAGCAACTCGCCCAGCCGGTCCGCTTCCACGTTCACGTCCTCGGCGGAGTCAACGGGATCAGAGTGAGCTGCCCAGCTTGCGACTATGGCCGCCTCCTTCGCCAGCTCGCGGTCCAGGCGCCCCAGCACCCAGCGCGGGCCGTCGCCGGCCGTGGTGCGTGGCGCGTTCGTCGAGGCCGAGGCGGACGTGGAGAGGTCGAATCGAATGTAACGATGATCCGACAACGTCTCCACATCCACCTCGACCTTCCATCCACGGATGTTAGGCACCAAGGCCGGGGACGCGAAGGAGAGGTCCACGATGGACCCCCCCAGTCGGCGCACGCAGGTGAGCTCCCTTCCTCGGTTGAGGAGCATCAACCCCGACGCGGCCGCCCAGTCCTCCAACTCTTCCCCCCTCGGGCTCGTCGCGGGAGATCCCCAAGCCGTTGATTTGGCGTTGAAATCCCCCGCGACGATCACGGGGAGGTGGGAGACCCGCGCCGTGAGCGCCTGCACCTCTGCGAGGGCGCGCTCGAAATCGGCGAGGGGCCAACTGGGGGGGAAATACACCCCCACTATGGCCACTCCCCCGACGACCACGAGCACGCTTCCCGTACCTCTCGCCACCTTTCGGAGAGGGGGGGAGCCGTCGCGGGCCGGAACGGAGATGGCCACCAGGTTGCCGACATCACCCGTCCAGTCATCCCGGGAAGGGATGACGTACGGGTCGGCAACCACCACTACATTTATCAACCACTGCGCCATGGTTTGGGCCAGCAGGTCCTGCGCCCGGGCGCAGTGGTTGAGATTACATTGTAGGAAGCGGATGGTGGCCATTTATGGGCTGGTGTCCATCCGCTCCGCTCCGGCCTTCTTGGCCTTGCGCCGAGGCCTTCGCTTCGGCGCACTCCTCCCTTTGGGCACTGGCCTCTGCCCGGCGGTGGCGCAGCCGTCGCC